AAGAATAATATATTTAGGTTTATTTTATGTTAAGATATCATTAGAGAATATATCTTTAGGATTTATGGTTATGATAGTAATATAGTATATCTTGTAGGAAGATTGTTTCCTATCTTATGAGCGTAGGTTTTGTATAAATACTCTGCCTATTGATCAATAATAAACAAGCCATTCGATTATCTCTTTTACCCCAAGTGATCTACGGGTCGGTTTCGGTTTGGTTTCAATTATTATCCGTTCAGTTCGGTTTCGTTTTATTTTTGCGCAGCTTTAATTTTGTTCGGCTTGTAAATGGTTTGGGTAGTAAACGGTTTGGTGCAAATGGGTTGCGATTTGTAAACGATTCGGTGTAAACGGTTTCTAACCCGGTTAAAACGACTTCGGGTTAGAAACGCTTCGGGTTAACAATGGTTCGGGTTTTTTTTCGTTTCAATTCTATTTCAGTTCGGTTAAAAACTGGTTCAGTTCGTTAAGGGGTTCGATTCTTATACGGTTTAACATTATTCAGATCGGTCTGTTTCATGTTTACTAAAATACGTTTCGGGCCGGTTTTCAGTTTCCAAAAATCGGTTGTAAATCAGTACGGTTCTCATTTTGGTTGGTCAATTTCGGGCAGTTAAACAGTTTCGGTTTGAAATTTAACTGGTTAAAAAGTTTGAATATCAAATCTGATTAATCACTAACGCTATTTTTGCTAAGTATTGATAATTGTTTTGATTGGTGATTGTCATCTTTTAATGTAGGATTAATACCGTTTTTTAATCCCAACTTTTACCAATTTAGTTTCATTAATCCCAACTTTGGATTATTCCTCAATAATCCCAACTTTAAGGTGGCCTATCATTCTTCAATCCCAAAAACCAGTTACTGGTCAAATGGTTTTTTTTTTTTTTTGTTAAAGTGACACGTGTCACTAATTAATTGGTTAAAATTTTTTTTTTAAAAAAAACAAAAATTAAAAAAATCAGAAAACCAACCACCAGCCACGAAACCGGCCAGCCACCTCTCGCCACCGTCGCCAACCATTTCCACTTCCCCTTGCAGGGCCGCTATTCCCCCACCCCCTGCAGCGCCGCTATCCCCCCTCCCCCAGCGCCCGTTTCCCCTCTTCCTCCACGCCGGTGATGCAACCCACCAACTCACCTCCTTCCTTCCCTCGTTTTCCAACTCTCAAAACGCCTTGAAAACACCTTCCCCACCATCAAATCTCCCTTGAAACACTCGATACGCCTTAAAACCACCTTCCACACTTTCGAAAACCCCCAAACAGCCCTCCCCCGCCATCGAAAACCCTAGCCGCTAAGGTTTCGGGGTGGTGGAGGAGCGGTTTGGAGTTTCTGGGAGTGGGGGAAGGGTTTGGTTGGTGTTGCGTGGATAGTGTTTTGAGGTAGGGGAAAATCGGCGACGCTCGCCGGCAAGGAATGCAGCGGCGGGCTGGGTAATGGTGGGGTTAAGGCGGGCCGGTGGTGGAAAGGGAGGAGGGCTGGTGGTGTTTTGTGGTTTTTTATTTTTTATTTTTTTTGTTTTTGTTTTTTATTTTTTTTTATTTTTAGACCAATCAGGACTTGACACGTGTCAAGTGACATGATATAATAGGTTTAGTTACCAGTTGGGTATGAAGAATGATATGTCACCTTAAAGTTGGGATTATTGAGGAATAATCCAAAGTTGGGGTTAATGAAACTAAATTGGTAAAAGTTGGGATTAAAAAACGGTATTAAATCTTTAATGTAATATATGCTTTCCTTCTTGCGTGAAAAATAAAAAGAAAAAAAGAAAGAAAAAAAGAAAAAAAAAAAAGAAAACGTTATTTATGACTATCCTAAAATTTACTTCCAAAATGACAATATTAATTTCATTACTTTCTTTTTGTATATTTCTCATCTAGTAACTTATTCAATTTCAACATTATCAATTTTAACACTTTCAACCCTTTCTTTTCTTCTATAGTTGTTCTGATAATTCCTCCAAAAAAAAAAAAAAAAAAATATAATGTTGCATGAACGTAACTATTCAAAAACAAATAAAAAAAAAAGTAATGATGTATGAACATAGTTTAAATCAGTTATGCGTAAAATTAATTAACAATGAACTAATTACTAACTTAAATTAACCGATATTCTTGTAATAATGTACTCCGTAGTAAACATGTATGCATAATTAGATTTCATTTAAAATTTCTTTTAACGTGATTTTCATACATTTAGATTAAGATGACAAGATTAATTCTACTGAGATTGCCAATTTATAAAAGTAAGCGGTTTGTAAACGGTTCGATTTATAAGCGGTTCGGTTTGTAAACGGTTCGATTTATAAGCGGTTCGGGTTATAAACGATTTGGTTTGTAAACGGTTCATTTTATAAGCGGTTTAATTGGTTTGTAAACGGTTAAGTGGAAACGGTTTTTAACCCGCTTCAAACGGTTTCGGGTTAACAACTATTTCAGTTAAGTTTAAAACTGGTTCGGTTCATTAATGGGTTCGGTTCTTATATATTTTAACATTATTTGGATTGGTTCAATTTCGGGCTATTTAAAATACGGTTCGAGCCTGTTTTCGATTTCAAAAACTCAATTCGATTCTCATTTGGATCGATCGATTTCGGACAGTTAAACGGTTTCAGTTTGAAATTTGACAGTGATAATTAGTTGTATATGAATCTTGTGTCACTCTTGAAGTATGGATTTCTAATTAACGTATCAATTTGAAAGGACATTTTGGAATTTGGGGTATCAAAAATAATAATATGCATAAATTATGATGGTCTACTTGTGAGTTGTAGATATGAGCTGGATAGATAATGACTTAAATAATTGTTAGGTATGTACATTTGATTTTGACAATTGCTGGCTGGCGTCCGGCTTGGAGACTTTTTTTTTTGATAAAAAAGATTGTTCATACTCTTCATAGCTTATTTCCTGATCACAGTATAAAATTTTTTTTTTAAGAAAAAACCTAGTCGCCCCTTCTCTTTCTGACTTTCTCCCTTGTTTATTTTCTCTAGGCTAGGGTCTTAAAAAGTAGTGCTTTTGGCTATCTTCAACCATTACTCTTTAATTTCTTCTTGTAAATGCTTATGCCATATCAAAAGGAAGTTAGACAAAAATTTCTTCATCACAACTACATCAAATTGATAGTCCCCTCGCCGCATAATCTTGTAAATCACTGGATATGAAATAGAGTACGAAGAATGGATAATATGTAACAACAGACGCAATACATCTTTGTTGAAAAGATGATTATATTTTTTATTTAGTTGTCATGTGTTTAGATGTCATATGACTTTTTCTCTATGAATCTGTATTTTTATCAAAAAAATAAAAAGTCATAAATATCTATAAAGAGATTTAAGTCTAATAAATATATGACCATTGCACCAAATAAAAATATTTTGTCAGCAAAGTTACAATCATTGTTGTAATCGGTCGAACAATTTTAGGGTAACTTTTAATCAATTTAGAGTAACTTTAACCTTCTTTACAGTAATTAACTTTAAACCTGATATGATTTTGATGTAAATAAGCCATACAATAAGTCTCTTAAGGATAATATAAATATATATCCTCTCATTGAGATTTATGATTATCAATAAGTCTTATATAAGACATGTTTACGTTAATTTTATTGTAAGACAGTCAATTTGATGGTAACTTTAACAAATTTTATGATAACTTTTATCCCTTTAAGGGTAACTTTAATTTGTAATGAGTTTGATTGTATTTGATCGAATGTGAGAGTGAGAGATAGCTCAAGTGGTTAGAGCTACTCTTCAGGTTCCAAGAAATCTTGAGATCGATTCTCATCATTTGTTTTTGTGGCTATGAAGGCTAATATGATTAATCTAATACATTATAAGTGTTTTTTTAAGGGTAAATTTGTGTTAGAAAAATTGGTTACTTTTGTTGTATATAAAGGTAATTTTAAATACTTTTAGGGTAGCTTCCCGTCTTACAATAACTTAATAAAAGTTTGTCTTAATCTATCAAGAATTTGTGTATGATTACAATTTTAAAAAGAGCAACTCCATCAATAAAACATAAGTAACTTTTATGTATACTAAGGTAACTTTTACTTATATATATATTAGGATAACTTTTTATCATTATCGGGTAGCTAGGCTTTACAATTGATGCACAATAATTATTAAACACCCATACCATTTATTAAAAAATTGTAGTTTGACAAAGTGATTTGATCAACTATCTATCTATTAACTTATACTAAAAGCAAATACTTCCATGACACTTGTCATTAACTTGTGAAAATTTTTCCCGCCTTTTTTGCTTTTTTTTTTTTTTTTTTTTTTTTTTTTTTGCAAAATCCTTAAGTAAACTATTTATACCTTATGTACTTTCTTTCCAATTTGCCAATCATATTCCATATATATTCAAATAAAATATTTCTGAATATATTTTATATACTTTATATTTTGTAATATTATTGTCAAAAATATTTAACAACCGTGCATTACACGGGTTTTTAACCTAATAATAATCTAGAGATAAATAGATAATGTAAAGATTAGCAAGCTAAATAGTTAGATAATTGTTTATTAGTCTACCGACCTATCCTTAAAACTTAAAAGCCTTTTATTATATTAAAATGCCCGGAAATATAAAATACTCCGTATTAATTTAATTTGCTCGCCTCGAAGTGTCGATAATTTATCATGTGTAACTTATGGAATGAGCTGAGCCTATAGACTAAACTAATTAACGATACGCCATAGCAACCCAAAAACACAAAAGCGTCAGTTAAATTAGTATGGTATATATTGTACATAAAATCAGCACAGATAACAAAAGGTCGAAACTCAAAAATGCATAAAATTGACAAGTTACAGTAGAATAATAGCCGTAACAAAGGTACGTACGTACCACAATTTTAATTCGCGAAATCAAATTCTAGTAACCATTAAACACGAAACCAACATGAGTCGATCAAATTCACCAAGTTTATACGTAACAAACAAAGATCATCATATCCTGTAAATAAGATGATTCAAATCCTTGCAATGGAGAAAACAAACGCCACAAGTCCAACCATCAAAGCAGAAAAGGGTGCAAGTGAGCTCGAACCACCCATGTCATCACGGCTATTTGGTGTATCACCACCAGGTCCACCATGCTTCATCATCGGCATTGGGCCATCAGCATGATCATGACCTTCGTGAGCTGATACAATCACCGCCAGGGCAACCATACAGGCAGCAAACACGGCCACTTTGATTTGAGACTTAGCCATGGCCAAAAATATATATATTTGATTTACTACGTATTATACTTGGCTTGTATTTATGTAATATATTGTTATGTGCTTAGATGCAATGTAGTTGAGATTTATATAGAAGCTAAGCCATCCAATGGCTGGTTATATTATATGATCGAAATTATGTCATGTTCCATTTTTACAAGCTTTAATTAATTTGTCATATGTACTAATTCTGAATTGATTTTCGTTTTGCATGACTGCGTGTAATTGAACAATGTGAACTAACAATTGTACTAGTCATAAGTTGTATAGAGCAGCACGAATATCGCGTCACTTTGAATTTATGTACATAACTACTCTTGCTAATATACTGTGTTAAATTAAATTATGTCATCATGAAAGAATTAACAATTTAATTAATAAATAAATTAAAGCTGCATTTTGATTTTGTCAATATAGCTGACTGTATGGCTATGAGTCTTGACGACTTTTTCATTTCATGTTTAAAGTTTGATGTTTTCTGCATGTTTTTATGGATTTTTCCTTTATGAGAATGAAGCTCATTTTGAATGACTTAATAGTTCATTGGTGTAATTGGTAAAAATATACGAGTGACGATATAAAATAAGATAAAGTGACTCAAATTTTATACGAATATACTCCCTCAAATTCTAAACAACTCATGCATAAGTTGACATAGTAAATGCTCATTAAAGAAAACAGTGAAATTAGTGAATGTCCAAATTGAATAAGTATTGTTTAACTTTCTTATAAATAATAGGATTTCAATAAGGGTGACATTGGGACGTACATATATATACATGTATGATTTTTTAACATATTGACAAATTTAGTTGGTGATTTTTATTTAGGGGGAGCGTGCTAAATTGAAATGTGACATTTTTCCGTACGCACATACGAAATCTATCCATTTTAAATAATTGATCTATTTTATTTTTATTTTTATTTTATTTATTTATTTATTTTTATTTTTTTTATCAACTTTGACTATTGTACAAGCTAGCAGCCAGCCGTATCACATACGGAGTGATGAACAGCCTGAATCATGCATCATTTTCATTACTATATACGAAGTAAATTATATTAAATTAAAGCATAATGTGATCATACTTTTTTGTTGCTGAACTGGACAAACAGTGAGGGTTGAGGTTGACTTCAGAATTTAATTTAATTATGACTTTGTCAATTACAAGTATGTGAATTTTATCCCGTTTAGTTCACCTTTATTTTACTTATCTCAGATTGGATAAAAATAAAAAAAAAATTAATTTTTTTTTTAAGAAAAAAAAAAGTCTATATCATAAAATAAGTTCTAACATGTTTTATCGTTTGATGTGCGGTTTTTTCATCACTACGTATCTTTAATTTCATAATGAAAAAATTTATAAAAAATACATAGTAATAAAATACATATTATTACGAATCTAACAAAACTCCATCTGATATTTTTTTTTCCCTTGTAGAATAGCTTTTTCATATAAGGTCAAATTTAATTCAAATCAGACAATCAGGTGAGATTAGAAAAAATAAGTTCACATGATATTAGATAAACAAATTGAAAATCTACTCCCTCGATCTGTCCCTAAATAACTGACAAAGTCAAATTTTGCACACATGTCAATGCACTTGTTTGACCTTATTTTTACATAAGTAAACATTAATGAAAATTATTAAAAAAAAAAAAATTATGTTATGAACTTTATATCAATACCTATCTAACAACATAATTTATGATAAAATGTGTTGTTATTTATGTTAATAATAAAAACTATAGTCAAAGTTAATATGTGAATATAGTGAAAAAAAGTTCAAGGCTGGTACGTTGTGCATGTTTATTGTTGCCTAGTCAGTCCCTTACTGTTTTCTTAATTCCTTAAAGGAGTCCCCTGTGATTAGCTTGTGTATCCTGGTTTATATTGAGTCCCATACTGTGATGTGCTATTTACCTTATCCATATCCACATGATGAAGGGACTCCATTGAATATCACTAATCACTAGTGACTTGCACCAACAACATGCATAATGTTGTTGTTGTAGAGGTACCCTTGTGCATTAGTGTAGTATTCAAACCCTCTGATGGAAGAAGTGCCCACATAAACACTCTATCTTTGTCATTCATATTCCATTCAAAATGTGGGTACAAAAAACCATACCTTTGAGTAACAAACAAAAGACATTACAAAAGACCATACCTTAATCTAAAGACATTACAACAGACTGCCTTACATATTTGGATAATTGTAATGAACAAAATACACTTAACCACTTGGTACTTCAACATTTTTTTGAAAAAACAAATAAACAAACTTACATAGATAAGTGGTTATGTGTGGCAGTCCATGTGTTGTCTTTTTCTTGTAATGAGTCCCCTGATCTGCATCCACCTCCAAATCTTCTGTGACTTCTTCATTGCCTTGATTTGCTAGCCTAAACATGGTGTTTAGGTAGTCCACAGCCTCCATTACTACTTCTTCCTGGACTTCTACTATCTCTGGTAGAATGCCAATATTTTCAAGCTTTTTTTTGTTCATATGTGGTATTCTGTACTTGTTACCACCTTCTGCCTTGAGTATCTTCATCATGCATTGTTGCAAAGTAACCCAAATGTACTTGTTAACTTGGGGATTGAATGTGTCATAAGAGTCTCTCACTTTTTGTACTAGCTCATCTAAGTCTCTAGGAAAAGACTGATATTGCAAAGATTGAATAGACCTAAACAACCCTAAGTCAAGCACATTCAAATCAGGTGATTGTGCTGGCTGAAAAACAAATTGAATGTTGAACCCATTTTCTGTTGTCGCTGCCATAAATTCTGCATCCCTAGGAACTTGGTGAGGCCTTGCATTGTCCCATTGGATGACCACATCTTTGGCCAGACTTTCAGGCCACTTTGAGATGATTGATGGGATGACCTTTGTCAGCAACATCTTTCTAATTACTTCTCTGTTTATATTCTGGAGTGCCTTTGTTTCCAGAGTCCCTTTTGCCCTATTTTTGCTTGATTTCTGTGCTACTTGCTGGACAGTAAATGGGAATATGCCATACTTCCCATCATGTAACAGTTCTCCATTTATGTCATATAATGGCTTGCCTATAATTGCCATGAACATTGCCTTGAGCTTGAATCTTTTTGACTGAACTGCTATGTAGGGATCCTCCTTAGTTGGTAGTAGATAAAACCTCCTCTTGTTAGGGTTCAAATAGAACCACTTCTCATCACAGTGTATGACATTCCTCATGTCAACAAATGTGGGGTCCTCATTTCCTGTAACTGGATTTATGTGTGACAAAATCCATCTTAGTCTGGCTATCTTATGGTCTGATGTCAATGCTGGCTTGTTGCAGCATGTGTGTGCTCTTAGCCTTCCTCTCTTTTTCAAATTGTGAACAGTACTGTGACTTATCTTCAATGCTCCTACATAACTCCTTTCTGTCTGCCTTAAATGCAAAGGGACTGACTGTAGAATTTCATCAGAAATTTGCAATGGCTTTCTCCCTGTTCTGCCAATTTTTTTAGTCCTGACATCAATCAAGTCCCCTTTTGCCAACTGTCTTTTGATTTCTGTGAAGATTCTTGTGATGGTTGATTTGTGAACGTTGAATTCAGATGATAAATGCTTCATGTGACCCCTTGGTAATGTGCCATTATTCGTTTTCACCAAAAGTGCATCTACAATTTTCCTTCTGTTGTGCATTGTTAGTTGCTTTCTGCATACAATTGGAGTCTCTTGTTGAGGCTGTTGTTGCATTTGTGAGGAAGCAACCTCAGCTTTTGTGTGTGTGGTTGTTGTTGTTCTTCTTCTTGGCTGTCATCCATGCTTTCAGTTTCTGATTCATACTCCCAAATGCCTGCATCCTGCACTTCTTCTTCTTCGTCTAACCACAACTCTGCCATCTGTTCTTCATTTAGTATGTGTTCAACATAAAAAAAACAGAATCAACATATTCTACCATGTCTTTGTGGTCTTCAGCACAGGGAGATGAAGTAGGGGGCCTGCTGATTTTGTGTGGAGAAGATGAAGCCTAAACCCTGATGTGCAGGAATGACAGCAGCGCAGCCCTCTTTTTGTTTGGGTTTTAACAGTGTAGTTAGTTTGTAATTAAGCTAACCGTAATGGTTAATGTAGGAATCGGTAATTGTTTGGATGAAACTTTGATTTTGCTGGACTGTGTCACCCAGCTTCTAACATTAATGGTTGTAATATTTTCTGTGAAAATGGAGGCTGGTTTTTATAGCCTCCTTAAATGTTCAATGTTGCCTTTAATAGCTTGAAAAAGTTTCAGATGTGCAGCCTTTTTAAAAAAAAAAAATTGGAGGGAACTAAATTTTCCACCAAAAAATCCCCCAATTTGAATTTTTGGTGAAAATTTGGGGGGAGATTTTGCCATTGTACTTGCTTGCACAATTTCCCACCAAAAACCATTGTGGGTGCCCACACTTTCTCTCTCCTTTCCCTTTAATTAAACCCACTAACTCTTCATAAACTTTACCCTTCAAACTTTTGCTTCGTGAATCGCAACTTGTATGAAAGTTGCACATAAAAAAAACCGAAGGTAGTAGTTACGAATTCAAATTGGACAGTTTGTCATGTTTCTTTGACCAAAGTCAGAATCAAAATTGGTTTTGCACTATATTGTCATCCCTCATCCCTATAAGTAAAAATAGGCTGGATCAACTTGTTGCCCATGGCCCACTGACCCCCACTGACATTCACTACTAGAATCAGGTCGAATTTCGACAGATAGGTTCCGACGGACACGTAATTCCGTCGGAAAAATAGGAATTTCCGACGGATTTATTTTCTGTCGGATATTTCTGACGAATTTAAAAATTTCCGACGAAAAATTATTCCGTGAGAAATAATATACTTTACGACGGATTTTCCCGTCAGAAAATAAAATTTCTGACGGAATTTATATCCGTCGAAATCTATTTTTTTAGACAAAAAAAAAAAAACAAACCCTACATAGCCAAACCCCCCCTCTTTCATTTTCGCCTCTTCTTTTCCCTTTCTCCTTCTTTGATCTTTCTCCTCTTTCCTCTTTCTCGGTCTTCTTCCTCTTCTCTCTCTCCGTCCTCTTTCTCGGTCTCTTTCCTCTTTCTTCGTCTCCCTCCTCGATCTTTCTCTTGTCTTCTTCCTCTTCTCTCTCTCCGTCCTCCTCTTCTCTCTCCGTCCACCACCAACATCAAGCACCGTCAACAACAACATGAAGCACCGTCAACCACCACCAACATCAACCGCAACAACAACGACGCCTCAACAACAAAGTCGACAACCACCGTCGCGAGCCACTCACTCTCAAGGTATTTATTTTGTAGATCTTGTTTTAATTTAGGTTAGATTGTAGATTTAGTTAATTTCTTATGTAATAGTAATGTTAGTTTTTAAATATTATTAGATAATTGTATATTTATATAATTAATTTAATTTTTGCTGGTTAATTAACGTTTTTTTTTCAATGAAATTCTGATTAAACATGTAGATCTACTGGTTTTGATTTTTTGTGTGGTATTTTTTGATTTTGTCGAGTAAATTTTCGTATTTTTGGACTAATTTTCGTTTTTTGGGGTAAATTTTTGGCTTTTTTTGGGGCTTTTTGTTTTTATAAGGTTGATTTTCGTTTTTTTGGGCTAAGTTTCGGTTTTTGGGGTTAATTTTTGGTGTGTGGTGGTGGTGTGTGGTGGTGGGATAGAGGCTGGTGTGAGTGGTGGTGGGAGAGTTGGTGGTTGGGATGGGTCGGTGTGCAGTGGATCCGGTTGGGTGGGTTGGTGGTTCTGGGGTGGGGGCTGGTGGTGTGGGCGGTAGAGGTGCAATTTTTTTTTGTTTTTTTAATAGGATTTTTCGACGGAATTTCGGTGAAAAGATATCCATCGGAAATTTCCGACGAACTTAACCGGGCTAGAAAATCTCTTTCCACAGGAAAATTCCGTCGGGAAACTAGTTCCGACGAAATTTCTGTTGGAAAAGGTCGTTTTTCCTACAAAATGTTTTCCGACAACCGCTTTCGATAGAAATTCTGTCGAAAACGGGGTGTTTCCGACAGAATTTTTCCGTCGAAAATCACTTGTTTTTCTAGTATTGCTTGTGAAAGTGGAATCCGTAGGTTCGAATGAAGATGACCTCATGGCTCTTGAATTCGATTCAATACAGGTTATCCCCCCACACACACTACCTTTGAATTCTCTTATCTACCACAAAAAGGAATTATGGAAGGTCTCACAAATCAGAAATGAAGAATAAGAAAGGTAAACTCTTTTCCAGGTATTGGCTTTGCATGTCTAAGAAGCACAAAGGAACAAGCCTTGAGCATCTGAGGACTATGATCTGTGATAAAGCATGGCAACCCTCACATTTGTACTGCTTACTTAGCATGTTTTAAAAATTATACCACCATCCCTCATTTGTGTTCTTGTATTAGTTCTGTTAGGAGAGTTAAACTCTCCCCTAGTCTCTCCTTACGTATTTGGTAGTCTCGAGTCTGTTGGGAGCAGTCTTCTTTTTACCCGTTGTCAAAAAAACAAACACTTGTTGCCCAGCATTACAATAAAAAAAATTAAAACAAAAAAAAAAACCAACACAACACATCATGTTAATTAAATTTTTTTTTTTTTTTTGAGAAGCACAACAACACAACATGACACGAGAAAGTGCGTTAAAATTAATTAGCTAATTAAATTTGTCTTAGGCATGTAGGCATTGGTACGCACGACAGTATATGATGACTTGAGACCGAAGGCACCCAAGTTCTACATGAGGCTCCCCCGCTCCCTTGATGTGCATAGTATCTAGTCGATACACTATTTTGGGTTGTTTCTAAAGAGATGATGTCGTGTAGAGTTGTAGACTTAGGGCTTGTTTAGTTCACCTTATTTTTGCTTATCTGATCTGATCTGATGTAACACCCCCAAATCTCTCTCTACGTAAATACTATATTTATACGTATAAAATAACGTAGAGATAGATTTGGGCGTATCACCACCACGTGAAAACGTAAGGCTTACTTAACTATTAAAAATGGAAGCGAAAAATAATTGACTTTTATTAATATTATAATAACCATAACATATAGTTCGAAAATACTCTAAATAAAACATGTCTGACTCGTGAATGAGTAAATTCCTAGCTAGGTGATCCCAATCCCGACTCAAGTATGCGCACGATCAATTCCACACCTGAAATCAAGATTGCTTACTAATAATGGTAAATAGGGCGAACCAAAAACAAAAAGGAAAACGAATTAGCAAAAACGCTAAGTACATATAAGTGCAAGGCATGTAAATGCTTTTATTAGACAAACATGCTTTCAAAACAGTTACACTACAACTCAAACGCTAAAATATGACTTTTCCAAATTCATCACTTTCCAAAATTAGACTTTCCAAATATAGGCTTCCAACAAAGAAATATTTAAAGATAGAACTTTCCAAAAATCAATTCATCTCTTAAGTGTGCACACCCCCCGAGCAAGTAATAAGACTATACTCGAGGAAAGACCAGATCATACAAAGTTCATGATCTTACTTAACCAGTCCCGGGTAGAGGAACAATAAATATTAAATACTCAGGCCCATAATGAGCTGCAAATTTAATTCAATTCCCTTAATCATAAATAAATTCAATTTAATTCAAACATGATTTCAAGATAAATCCTTTAAATAATTTATTCAAACATTCAAACAAACAATGATTCAAACATATACATATATAGAAAAACCTTTATCAAAGGTCTAGCCATCTATACGTACCTTGATCACGAGAACAATTAAGGTACGACTACTGCACTTGACCACGATCAAGGGAAACCTCCTACACAATAAAATAACCTTAATTAATATAAGGTTAACAAAATAAACCCAAACTATAAATAATACTCTACTAGTGCATGAACCACCTAATATTAACCTTTATAAAATCAAGTCTTGTTTATTTTTAAATAGCAAATTGTATATTTTAGTATCGAAATAACAATTTTAGTATCATAATAGTTGTTAGTACCAAAAATTAATATAAATAATCATAATATTATTAATAAGAGTAAAAGAGAAGTTTTTTTTTTTTTTAAAGGTGAAAGAAAGAAGGTGATGTTCGCACCTTCTGGCAGCAGCTCACGGCGGATTGATGGTGGCAGCTGGGTGGATGTTGGCGGTAGGGATGGTGGCAGCAGGTGGCGGCAGAGGTGTTTGTTTGGTGGCGGCAAGGAGCAAAGAAGGAGCAAGAAGTGAAGGAAGAGGAAGAGAAAAGGGCGTGTTTAGAGTGTGAATTAGAGGAGGAATTTTTGATTTTTGGTGTGAGTAATTGAGGAGGATTAAGGGTCTATTTATAGTGTTTAGAGTGTGGAAGGGATAGAGATTAATGTATGATATGATTACTAGAAAACATGATAAGTTTTGGGGTTTGTTAAAGTACTTGAACCAAATTAAGCCTAGATTAATAGTTGGGCATAAAAGATGAGTAGAAATTAGATAAAAGTTCATTTGATTGGAGGATTGGAAGAAGGAAGATAGGGATAGAAAAAATAAGATGATGAAGAGGGTTTAATGGTTAAGTAAAGAATAAGATAGAAATCACAAAATAATAATAATAATTTTTTTTTCAAGTTTTCGGCCAGCTACTGATTTTTATATAAAAAACTGATTTATTTATTTATTTTAATTTTTTTTAATAAAAAAACAAAAATCATATTTAAATGAATAGAAAGATTGAATTTGATACTTAAATCAAGTTATTATACAAATATATAAATATTTTAGATAATATCAAAACTAAAATTTGTTGTAAATCATAATGTATATTAGGTATTATCTTTAAAACTTTTGAAATTTCTAAGATAACAACATACATATTGAATAACATATGGGCTGACCTTTAAAAGATATTAAACCAATATTATTAATTTAGAAATTCGAAAATAATTAATTATTCAAATGATTAAATGCTTATATTTGGGGCCAAAATTTAAAATTCACTTTGGCTCCAAATTAAATAATTTAAGAAATTATTAAAATATTTTCCCAGAGTTCGGGGGATTACATTTGATTTGACCAAACTTTGATCTTATGTGCAGTGGCGGAGCCAAGGGATGGCTGGCGTGGGCCATGGCCTCCCTCATGGCTGTAAATATTAATTAGAGGTTGCAACAAGTAACATATGCTAAGTATGGTTTAGTGAGGTTGCAATGTTCATTTTGTCTTCCTCATCTCGGGTTCAAATCTTGTCTTTTGCAATTTTTTTGTTTATTTTGCTTTAGTGCCCTCATCACTTGTATGGACTCGTAAATAAGTACCCAAATTCAGGTCTTTGGGTATTTGCCTCTCCATTTCCAAAATGTATTCAACTAAATATTTTACTATTTATAAAAATATTTAGGTTCACTCATTCAATTTATATTGTTCAAGAATTGAAAATTATTGTATTTTATATATTTTAAGTAAGTATATATCAAATTGTTTTTGAATACGAATGAGATATGAGTACATATATAAGATTCCCGCCCCCCTAACAAAAAAAATTATGCCCCTGCTACTGCTTATGTGTACGATAATTTATAAGGAAAAGAAATATCAAGTGAGGTCTTGTTAGATTCGTAATGTGTACTTTATTGATATGTAATTTTCATAATTTTTTTTCATTATGAAATTAAAGATATGTAGCGATAAAAAACCTCACATAAAACGATGATCTGATCTGAATTTATTTTTTCTGAAATAAGTAAAAATAAGTTGAACTAAACAAGGCCTTAGATACTCGTATATTTTTGTTAAATACTCCGTAATATTATGTTTTGGGTGATTGTTAAGGATATTATCTTCATGTATTATTATGTGCAAAAAAGGGTATTATTTGTGAGACAAAAAACATTTATTTGTTACACATAATAAGAAATGGGGGTAGTAATTATTTAGTTGTATTATTTACTTTGTATCTTTTAGTTAAGTTTGTTTGACGTAATGGCTCATATCACATTAGAGAGCCCAAAATAATCACAAATCCATTGTCTCAAACTCCCAGCCCAATTCCTCAAAAAAAAAAAAAAAAACTCCCAACCCAAAATTCATAACCACTTTTGTACTTTCTCACTCTCAATAGGTTATGTTTAATGGACCCAATTTTTAATTACTCATTTCTGATTAGACCTTAAAAATAAGTTTGGATTAGAAAAACAAATTATGATATACAATATCATTTTGTTGTGTGGTTTTTTTATCACTACATATTTTTAAGTTCGTAATGAAAAAATTATAAAATTACATATTAATAAATTATAAAATATTACAGGTCTAATAAGACCCCACTTAATATATATTTTTATAATATACGGTCAAGTTTAGTCAAAAAAAATTGAGATCGGATAAAAAAGATAAGATAAACTAAACAAAGTCAAATGACCCTAATCAAGCGAGATAAGGTGAACTAAACATAGCCAAATAACCCTAATCCAATGCCGACGAAAATAAGATAAAGCCCATATGGCCATATCACATTAGAGGCCAACGTTATTTACAGATTCATTATCTCAGCCCAAAATTCCAAACCATTTTGTTAACTCTCTCACTCTCCTCACTACTTCGAGAAGCGGCACTATATCGGTATATCTTATTCTTTTCTGTAACTTCAACTTTCATACTACCTAGAATTAGCAGCAGTAGCACTTCTTCGTTCATCATCAAATGTTCAATTAACCCAAAAAAGCAGTAAAATCCCCAAATTCAAGCTCCATTAATGGCGTCAACACCTTCTCCTTCCTCCACACTTTCTCTCTCTTCGACACAACTCCCTTTTCAACCCCAGAACCACCCTCTTCGTCGGGGGTTGCTTTTTCCGACGAAAATTGGTGGCCGAAGACGATGTTTAAAGTTGAAATTCTCCGCCGTTAGAGCCGCCGCCGGAAGCGGTGGTTCTTCTCGTAGTCGTAGAGTAGTTTACAGGGAATCTCAGGCACAAAATCCGACATCCATTGGCCAATTTAAGGAGTTTGCTTCGGCAATTGTTCCTCCTGCCATTTTCATTGCTGTTTCCTTCGGTAATTTAACTGTTCTTCTTTTTCGAATATTATGTGTTTGTTTGTTTTAAGTTTTCTTGAGTAGAGAATGTAGATGTTTTTTTTTTTTTTTTTTTTAATGTTTATTGTGTGTGGAGAGAGCCGCATACGCATACGGTATAGATGTAGACAGGATTCGATCCTAGGTCTTGGATTCGGTTTTTTTAATGGTAGGTAATTAAATGATATTAAAGTTCAATGTGGAAATTACTCTTTGATATAGTTTAAAACATATTTTTGGGTTTTAACTACGTGGAGATGGTTATCTAACATGATATCAGAGCTCAGCCACGGTTTGGGACCTTTAATGGCTTGAGTATATTGCTAGGTCCATGGTTTGGGACCTTTAATGACATTAAGTATTCTGTTCCAAATTAAATTGTGTCATGTGATCCTTGAGTTAAAGGGACCTTGTATGTGAGGAAAAATGTTCAGTATATCCTATCAAATAACACATGTAAGTGTCCAACATAATGTCGACAGAGTTAAACACGTTATAAGGCTAAGGGGCTAAACCTCCTATTGCCATAAGATTTTGGGATGGATATTCCTTTGGTCTTGTGAAATAGACTCTCTCTCTTGGTTTGTGGTGCGGCTTAGACCCTTATTTAACATGGTATCAGAGCCAACGTGACATAGAGGTCACGGGTTCGAATTTCATCCACCCCCACCTTTAAGTGGAATATTAAGTGCTGGATATGAGGAGGGCCCATGCTGCATCCATACTTCAAGCCTAACGGGCTCTCGTATGAGGGGGCGTGATAGAGTATAAAACATAATCTTGGGCCTGAACCATCAGCTTAATCATTTGGTTGAGTTAGTCCTCTAACATGCTTACTCTAGTTTTATTTCTATTGATTAGTTGAGTGCTACTTATCAAATACAAGTTACAACTTACAAGTGTTTCGGGTGATTATATTATGGAAAGTTAGCTTCTTGTAACTTGGAAACCCGAATTTCGATTATTTTCATGAATTAAAGGACAATAGTTAACCAAAGCTCAGAAAAGAAATGTTTGTTAGGAGACACTGCTATGGATATACTTATAGAAAGCTCATAAGATTTATGTTTGTCAGATTTTTCGGCAATTGTGATCCTTCTTTGGGACTTAGTGAACATATAAACGTGACTTAAGGCTGTCCAATATGACTACAATTGCAACTTATAGACCTAGGAATGCTGCAAATTTCTTTGGAGGGTCGTTTACTTGGTTTAGCTAATGTAAGAGGGAGGTAGGGTTCAATCAAGAGTTAGGCTAGAATGGTTTCCTTAGAGGTAATCAAGGTGGATTGGATAGGCCAAAGTTCCACTTGGGGAGGCTAGGTGGTTATGCAATCCCTCCCTTGGGACAAATGCTCTCTTAGATTTTGCTAGTTAGAAGTTAATTGTTTGGGATACGCCCCAATGTGGAGCAGATTTGTACAAAAGGGACAAAGTGTAAGTTTACCAGCCGCAAAGGAAATTGCAGTTGCTTTTACCCTGCTGCTTTAAAGCCTTACTAAAAATTGCTGTCTTGTGTCCAAAATGATAGCATTATCTCCATTTCCTTGTAAAGTAATTCCAAGGTACTTAAAGCATCCACTTAAGGGTAACTCCTTAGTCCTTACCGTCTGATGTTAGTATATTCTTGATTGGCTCCCTCGCAATACTAATGGCATTTTGTGTACTCATGTTACTCCTAATTAGCCTAACCCGTGTACTCATAATCCTAATTAACCTTATCCGTGAGCTTCTAACTTTTGTCTCCATTGCTCCAATCTAGCATTAATCTCACCTCTAGACCTCTAGTTTCATCTATCAAGACGATATCCCTGAATTTAATGTGAAGTACCTTCTCTACAATTGTTGGTTGGACGCTAGATCATTAGACAAAATCTCTCTAACACTAGTTTTTATAATTGTTAGCTTGTTCCTGAATGTTAATGGAGGTTTCAAAAAGAGTTCACTAATTTGTTCTTTCAGCTCACAGTTTTGTGGAAGGTGGTTGGTAAATTCCTTTTGCCAAAGCCCCATAAGGCTTCAACAACAGAAAATAAACCTGCGTCATCGGATATGAAGTGGTCATTTGCTGCTGGGACAAACTTGTTAAAAAATATGAGCCAGAAGATTGAGAGAGATTCGAAGTTAAAGCTCGACGACTTTGCCAAAGAACTTCGGTCATTCAATGTAGTTGATATGTCAGGTATGTTCCTCTTCCTTCATGATATTATCCTGTGCTTCCTTCATGTTCCTCTTGAGGTATTCATAGAATCATTGTTTAAAGGTGGTTTCAAAATCATCTATTATGATTCATCACTTCATCATACTGTTATGCTTTTTAGCCCTTTCTTGTTTTGTAGCTGTCTCTATTATGCTGGTCTTTGTCTACCATCTAGGCGTGATTTATTCAAGTGTTTTAATATTGAAGGACACTTTATCAAATTGATTTGAATCAATTTTTTGTAGGCCGTAATTTTGGGGATGAAGGTCTATTTTTTCTTGCTGAAAGCTTGGCATACAATCAGGTTAGATAAATGTTTGAAAAAGATCTTCATTCTGAATATTGTCAGTATGTACTGAACTACTGATGTTCATGAGATGGGCTTGATGTTTTTTAATTAGATTTTTTTCATTTTCCAAATTTAAATTAGCATATGAAAAAACTGGTGTGCTTTTTTTTTTGTGGGAGAGGGGGGGGGGGAAGTAATGTACATAGTGGTGGGTTTGCGCCGGGGGGGGTGGGTTGGTGGTTATGTACATAGGGGTGGGTTGGGGGGGGGGGGGAGAGTAATGTACATAGGGGTGGGTTTTGGGGGGGAGGGTGTGGTGGGGGTAATGTACATACTTCGTATTGTTTATGTCAAGACATACAATATCAAATAATTGAAGAATTGAGTGATTTATGATAAAACTGTCTTATTCAAGAAATTTTAATACTTATTGTATAGAACAATAAGATAAAGTAATTGTAGATGATAAAGTGGCATTTGACATATGTAGAAATTGAAAATTTGAGCTTATAATTTAACCTGTGATTTTTTCCAATTGATGATTTAAACAAGGCAAATGACTATGGCATAAGACAACACTTTCCAAAATATATATTATTTTGAAGCCAAAGGTGAATCTGTTACAAGATCCAAAACTAGAAGTAGGGAGATAGAAAGACATATGGATTGAAATATACCAAACCTAGAACAGGTCAATGAGAAGCCAAAACTAGAGTATGAGGAAGAAGCTGGGACCAAGTTGGTGCAAATGAATCAACGAAATTTAGGAAAATGAAAGTACTTTAAGGAAGAGGGTGCTGTTGAATAATAAATATCAAATACGGAGCCCAATCAGATTAGAATTATTTTTTTTTCGTAAAAAGAGATACAAACCTAACCAGCTACCTCATTTATATTCAGCCTCTGGCGCTACATTTTCTTTAAAAAATTCTGTTGTATGTCTATAACCATCTATTCCGTATGTTGTAAATGTCCTCTTATATTTATTTTTGGTTTGAAGTTTGGTTTATCTGAAAAATCTGCTTTGCCATCATTTGCTAACTGCTGATTTTCATTAACATCATTTTGCTTTAGGTTGCTGAAGAAGTAGATTTTTCTGCTAACGGAATCACATCAGCTGGAGTGAAAGCCTTTGATGGCATTCTCCAGTCAAATATCTTCTTGAAAACTTTAAATCTCTCTGGAAATACTATTGGAGATGAAGGAGCCAAGGTTAGCCTTTTGAAACCATAGCATCCACAATTTCAAGAGATGAGCAATGCTATATGTTTGTATACAGTAACAATTTAGTTCATTTTGTATGGAGCCTGAATATATATCTCGCGTACAAATCATATGAAATTTAAAGATCCACATCTAGAAGTTGCACTTCCGTCTTTTTGCTTCAACATCCTAGCTATTGTGTTATCTTTGTTTGCTTTTATATGATGGCATCCTATAAAGGTCATGGTACTGTAAACAAAATGGCTTGAAGGTGGATTCTATGCAGAAGAGTTATAAACTTGAGTTGAAGAAAATACGAGAGGTGGTCTCGGTTTTTTGGCCACGTAGCAAGCAAACATCATCATGACTTACTCCAGTTCTATCTAATTTGTCTTTTTTATTCAACCTGTCATGCATCAATAACCAGCTACTAACCTAATCCTTAGTGCGCATCGAATCTATCCTAAACCCATGAGATGCCTAACAGCCTCCCCTCCCCTTAAGGCCTTTGGACCAGAAGTAACAACTAGAAATAGTATAGCACTCTGTAGTGTACAAAATAACCAACTTTTAGAATACTTTTAATTCTACATACAGCTAGCTCCTTGGTTGTGGTTCTTACAATCTACCAGCTTTAAGATTAAATGCCTGGGCCAAATTTTTCAGGTCACTAACCATCAGAGCCCTAACATCTCTGATTAAATATTTAGTAGTATATGATTGTGCTTCCACCTTGCTCTTAAGCAAGCATGGAGGATATATGTCTTCTGATGGCCATCTATGAGGCTATGAGCCATGTGCCTTGGTCTTCTGCCTGAATGAACATTCTTTTGTAGAAGCTATGGATATATGACAAGTGGTGCATAATCTGTCTCATCTATAATCTTACAGAGATCTTATGAACTTCTTAATCCCGAAAATAAAACATTAAAATTGTCCAGATGCTATGAGCCTCAAGGTTCTGTTTTGTGAGAGTGATTGTAAAGAGCCTCGTTTTGTATTCTGATAAATCAATGCCGTTGTGTGTCTCCCGGTCTGTATTGATAATTGACTTGATTACCTCTGGTTTGCTTCTTTACTTTCCTCATTATGTGTTTTCGTATTGATTGCCAAATATGATACTCCTTCTGTTTCTTACTGTTCTTCCTTCATAAATCTTTTGCTGAGACAAAAAAGGTCAAAGTAAGAAGAACAATAGGAAAGAGAGGCAGTATGTAACAATTTAGAAGATGTCTCTTCCTTATAGTAGATGAAGCCATTGTGTGAGACTGTTTATTGTGGATCTTGCCTTCCCCCCTTCCCAATATATTTTGGTCCTTGCTTGTTTACAAGTAGAAGTGCGTATGATGGAATATCTACGTAAGAATCATCATGTTGTTATAAGGCTTATAACTACATTGCAAATGGATGCAAATTATCCTAGATATGTGTTAAGCATGTTACATATTTTTATCACTCTGTTGAATCTTTGTATGTTATCATTATTAGTTGTCTTTTGCAGTGCTTGTGTGAGGTATTGGCAAATAATAGTGGTATTGAGAAGCTGCAATTGAATAGTACTGGCTTGGAAGATGAGGTCAGTTTACATCTCAAATTATAAATTGGCACTGTTTGTTTTGCTTCAAAGGCCTAGCTCTTTCCAACAATTTTTGTGCTCTCTAGGTTTGTAAGACTGATGGACCTTAGCTTAGTTCTGAAGCTTGAGGCCCTTGTTTATTACTTTATGGTCTAAAGTCCACCAGGCAAAGGCCTGGGGCCTGTTTGAGCTCAGCTTTCTAGGGCTATGGTTCACTCTTCTCCCAGACCACTTTGCTTAAAATTTGTTTAATTATGATTCTTTTTTTAAAAAAAAAATATATATTGGGGGTGGGGTGTCTGGTGTTTGGAGCCTTTCATGGTACCCAAGAGAGTTATCAGATTTTAAACCACTTACTCATATAGTGACAATAAAGAAATACTCTTTTCATGCAGGGTGCCAAAGCTATCGCAGAAATGCTGAAGAAAAATACAACTTTGCGTATTATTGAGCTTAACAACAACATGATCGACTATTCTGTATGCTACTGACCTTAGTATTCCACTTCTGCTGTATCTTTGTCAAACTGGAACTTGAGAATATGTTCTATTTATGTTGTGTTCCAAAAATGGAAGTAGGGTTTTGCAAGTATTGCTGGGGCGCTACTTGAGAACAACACCATCCAAAGCTTACACCTTACGTGAGTTTAAGCTATCTAGATCTCATATTAAAATTTGCAAGCTCTCTTCTATTTCTCATTCTCTGATGGTAGCTCTGCAACCTGGCCAACCTCCCTGAAAAATGATAAAGATTTATTCCTTCGATTTGTTTTATACTATAGTTGTTTGCTTTTATAATCTCTTCTAACGATGCAGTGGCAACTACGGTGGGGCTTTGGGAGTTGCTGCTCTAGCTAAAGGTATAGAGGCGAACAAGTCCTTAAGGGTATGTTTTCTATTATACTTGAATGCTTCTCCTGGCTGTTCTTTTGACTTGGTTTTAGTTGTAAGAAATTCCTTATTAATAATTGATATGAATTGTGAAGATGCTTGCTTTTTAAACCTTATTTAAATTAAAAGCAACTGCTTTTATGATATTTTGGTATTCTCTAGTACGTAATCTGAAGGCTTATAATTTATAAATATCAGGACCTTCACCTGCATGGAAATTCTATGGGAAATGAAGGAGTTCGTGCTTTGATGTCAGGCTTGTCAACACGTAAAGGTTTATCTCTTTGTAATCTGTAAAATTTTAGGAGTCTTAAGCTTAAGAACTTCGTTTTTATCACCAATTTTCTGGCACTTGATTATTAGTTTAATTTTTATTTACATGTTTTCCCCTCTTTGTTCTCCATGGAGGAGAATAGGGACATGGTTCTTTCTTTTCTTTGTTTTATGTTTTTTCATTTTGGGTTTTCACTGGGGAATAGAAAAACCTAATGGATTGTACTTACAGGAAAATTGATACAGCTGGATATTAGCAACAATGAAATTGGTCCTAGAGGTGCTTTTCACATAGCAGAATATGTGAAGATCTCCAAGAGCTTGTTGTGGCTGAATGTTTACATGAACGACATTGGGGATGAGGTATATTCTTACGTACCTAACTCCTCCCATTATCAGTCTCTTATATTTTTATTTTTCATTGACAGTTTATTATTATAAAATGATGCTTTACCAATCTGATTGTTTTGTTTCATACCTCCTCCCCTTATTAAGTGTAGTATTTGGGTCTCCACTCAAAGAGTGGTGAAAGAAGAAAATGAAAAAGGGAATTACTTACATCTGGATGTCTTCTTTTGTTCTTATGTGATATAAAGTTCAATCTTTTATCCAGGGATAGATCTTAAGGCATGAAGGTGGCAAACATTTGTTGTGCTTCTAATAATCTAGTCAACTGCCAGAAAATATAAGTGTTGGCACCTTGATGGAATATATTTTCTTATTCTTTTTTTATTTTAACCTTAAGGCCATAGAGTTCTATCCGTGACCCCAACCTAATTTTACGTGTTTCACAACTTCACTCTGTGTTGGACTGAAACCTCTCTTTTGTCTCTCTATATTGGAAGTTACCGAAGTAAATGGCTTAGATTAATTCAATTCTTGTTAGGAAAACCATATTTTAAGATTTTCTCTGCTACAACATCTGTTTCATATATGTACATCAGTTCAGAAAAATTCGATATATATGTAAGTCATAGATGTTTGTCTTTGTATACTATGCTATTAGAGTTAGGAAATAGCATGCTTTGCTCCATTCTAGCAGGATAGGGTTTGCATGTGACCTGGTCAACAATGCCGGAGAAAACCGTCAAAGTCCATTTTCTGGCAGTAGGTGGTGATTTACAACAAACAAATTTAATTGGATGGTTATTTACTATATTTTCTTTTAAGGTAGTTATTCACAAAAGTAAGGATTTAAAAGGTGGTTTCTGACATTTTTTGTTTTTCCTTCTCATTTTTTTTTACTTGGTTTCCTCTTTTGTCACTTCTGTCTTGGAGCAAAATTAGAATCGGGTCATGGCTATGGTTGGAAATTTGATAATGATAAACTCTGTTATTAAGAGTATAGAGGCTGACACTGCTTTATTAGTCAGACTTCCTATATTTTCTTCTTTCTAATTCTGAAATTGTTGCTTGATTCATCTTATGATCTTGAATTTTGCGAACTTACTAGGGGGCAGAAAAAATTGCTGATGCACTTAAGCAGAATCGATCAATCACTACCATCGACTTGGTGAGAAAATAGCACTTTGTGTTTGCACAATGGTGTTGATGATTTGCTTTCTACAGTCTATATATCATAATCTCAAAATTTTGGGATTTTGGAACTCTCAGGGAGGAAATAACATTCATGCTAAAGGAATCAGTTGCATTGCTGAGGTCTTGAAGGATAATGATGTCATTACTACAGTAAAGCCAACCTCATCCTCTCTTCTCCCAGTTATCTTTTATTCTTTTACATTTTTCTCTTGGTTATTTCAACTTTATTTTTCTCTTAGTTGGAAATCGGCTATAATCCAATTGGACCTGATGGAGCAAAAGCTTTAGCCGACGTTCTCAAATTTCATGGGAAAATTAAAACACTAAAACTTGGCTGGTGTCAGGTAAAGTTTTTATATGTAAAATGTCTGCAAGCATATGCCCCTTGAGATATATTCATATATATATCTAAGACTTTCTCTGGTCATATCTTGCAGATTGGACGAAAAGGTGCAGAATTCATTAGTGATATGATAAAGTATAACACCACCATATCAACTCTTGACTTGCGAGCAAATGGATTGATGGATGAAGTATCTTCCTAAATTATATGCTCTGTATTTCCTGGATATACTACTGTAGCCATGCTTGATATCTTTTTTATTTTTTTATTTTTATTTCATTCTGTAATTTGCAGGGTGTGGTTTGTTTAGCACAAAGCTTGAAAGTGGTGAATGAGGCCCTGACTTCACTGGATCTGGGATTTAATGAAATAAGAGTACAGACATATTGTCTTTTTTTTTTTTTTTTTTTTTTTTGAAAGGCAATATTTTTCTCCATCTTTAATCTGGAATTTTCGGACAGGATTCTGGGGCATATGCAATTGCACAAGCGCTGAAGGCTAATGAAGATGTTGCCTTGACGTCAATAAATCTTACCAGCAACTTTATTACAAAACTTGGACAGGTAAATCCATTTAGAAGTGAAGTTTTTTTTATAACTAATTCTCTTTTCCACTTTTAAATTGCCATAACTTACCTAGGTTTTGATAACATACAGAGTGCTCTTACTGATGCAAGTGATCACGTATTAGAAATGAATGGACAGGAAGTCGCCATATTCTTCTAGGTTTCTTGTTGCGTAGAGTAATAGTTTTTGGTTGTCAGCATACCTATAGCAATTTAGTTCCTGCTCACATTTGTAGATTCTTTACATTTTAGATTTATCCCCTTCATTGACTGGGGATGGAAATTTTGATGTTGAGGCGAAGTTAACATTTATAGATACTGTAGCTAACATTATGATTAAATAGAAGTGGCAAACAAGTTCTACTCTGTTCAGATCATAAACGGAATACATGTAACAAATCATTTGGTCCATTTCCAACTTAATTCAGTTTTATTCAAGTCGATTCATGTTCGAGTCTATTTTCAATTTGGTTATTGTGATAAATAGTTTTACATCAAGTCATTTTTGAGTAAGGCAGGTTTTGATGGGATTATGTAATATTTGGTACAATTTGTAGTTGGGTCTTGTAAGGTAGGAATTTGTTTTGCCAGATTTAGATATGATTCCTGCAATCAAAATAAGGTAGGTGAAGATTGATGGACTTATAAATGACTAAAGCCATTTGCGAATAAGATTCGTTCAAGGCAAGTTATATCCCATTACCAGTCCTATATTGTATGGATTTGCTGTGAAGATCTTGCCATTTCACATGTAAATTTGTTTCTTTTCCTCCTTTTGTAACAAATCGTTTGTGTATAGAATTTGTGTGTATCGACACTCGTGTTGTTTCAAGTTAGGAGTTTGTTTTGCCTGGTTTGGATATGGTCATACACCAAAATAAGGTTGGTGAAAATTGATGGATTATCTATAAATGACTGAAGCAATTTGTAAATAAGATTCGTTCAAGGCAAGTTATTTCCCATAATGCCCCAGATTGTATTTTTGCTATCAAGATCTTGCCATTTCGCGTTAAATTTGTCTCTTTTCCTCTCTTTGAACAAAATGTTTGTGTATAGAGTTTGTGTGTATCGATGCTCGTGTTGTTACTAGTAATTCTCTAAGGCTACAACAGATGATTCTCTTTCAAGGTAGGTTAAATGCCATTGTTTCAAGCTGGTAGGTTAGAATCGAATTATATGGCTGTTGGTTTCTAACATGAGTTTGGGAAGTTTGCGTGATATACTCAACTCTTTCATGGCAGCTTATTTTTTCCATGAAAGAGCTGTATAAGAACCAAATTTAATGGTTAAGGAGTTGGTTAAGTAAATTGGGTTGGATTAGTGTTATATTGGTTAACATGAATAGACCTATGTTAATTGTTAACCGTATATATTTTTCCAAAACATTAGTTAATCACTATGATAACATATCCACACAAAAAGTTTATTTGAAAGTCTAAATAGTACTTCGTATATCGTAAAAGATTAAAAAATAGTACTTCGTATTTGTTTATTTTTGGAGTCGAGTTTCTAAAATACTCCCCGTAGTTGAATGATGAAAACTTTTTTTTTTAGAGGAATGAATGGTGAAAACTTGGGATAAGTATAGGAATGACAAAATATATATTATGAAATAATCATCTTTAGATTGTGACTCATGTTATTTCTTCAACACCAAACATCGTGTAAGATATTCAAACATGGTAAACCACAACATAAAGCAACTAAATACATAGTTATAAAGTTAGGCCTGTTACTTAAAAAAAAAAAAAAAAAAAAAAAAAAAAAAAAAAAAAAAAATCAGTAAAAATAATTTCAATTCTGCAAAATTAAGTTTAGTTCAAAATAAGTTCGGTTTTAGTAAAAATAATTTCAGTTCAATAAAAATAATTTCAGTTCAGCAAAAATAAGTAACTTAAAAGAAGAAATATAACTAAAAATCAATAAAAATAATTTCATTTCAGCAAAAATAATTTCTAAAAATAATTTCAGTTCAGTAAAAATAATTAAATTCACCAAAAATAATTTCAATTCAGTAAAAATAATTTCAATTTAGCAAGAATAAAGTGAAATAAACGGGGTTTTAATGATAGATATTTAAAAAAAATGAAAATAAATAAAGTTAATGAAATGATAGCTCAAAAACAAAAAGTCAATGATATTCTACTTTTAAAGAAAGGCAAGATATTCTGCTTTCTAAGAAAGGCAGTTATGCTAAAAAGTAAAGCATAAGACAAATATTCTCACAAATTTTTAGGATAATCTAATTAAGATGATGATCATAGTTTAATAAAGTAGACCTCAAAATCCCCTCAAAAAAAATAAAAAGTAGACCTCAAAATTGGAGACTGGACAATTTTTTAGACCTAAGTAAATATTACGGAGTATATTAAAAGGCTTCACAATGGTTGGTTTTATTTTACTTTTTCTACAATTTATGGAATGTTGAATATCAACAAGTTGAAGATGGAATAGTTTTACAAATAAAATAAATTAAACAGAAATACTTGGTGGCAAGCATGCCGAGTAGTAGAGAGAAGGATCAATCTTATAAGCTCAACACATGTTACCGGTAATTTTAATTATACAACCAACTATACCTAACATTCTAACAAGGTACAATAATATTTGTTTATTTACATAAAATCTGCTCATTTACATGAAATAAGCAATTTTTACTCATTTACATGAAATAACCAACTATACCTCTTCTTTTAATGGAGTACCTCCTTTCTCTCCTTTTTATACAACACTTTTTTTTTTTTTTTTTTTTTTTTTTTTTTTTTTTTTTTTTGTCATTTGCACAAAATGAGCGAATAATTTTTACTCATCGACATAAAATGAGCAAAACAGTGAAACTTTTTTTTTTTTTTCCTTCTTATATTTCCTTTTCCAATAACCAACACCATTCTTCATTCATTTGAACAAAAAATTAGTAAGTAATTTGCCCAACCTCCTCTTCTTCCTTCCTCCTCTCCCTTTCTTACTACGAACCTTTTTTTTTTTTTTTTTTTTCTTTCCGTGTACATTTACACAAAATGAGCAAATACTTGGTATTATTTTGCTCATTCATACTATTCAAAATAAGAAATCTACTTGATCTCTTTTTCCTCTGTTGTTTGCGGCTTTCATTTCCAAACATATTAAGTAATATTGTTCCTACCAATTAATGCACCATTTTAGAAATATCAAATTAAAGCGAGCAGAAAAAATGATTTTATTATATCCCAGATTGATAGTTACTACTGAAAAATGATAAAGAGGAGCAGAGAAAAAATAAGTGAGATAATGAAGAAGGGGAGAGAGAAAATAAGTAAGATGATGAAGAAGAGGAGGAGATAGATTCGAATTTGTTCCATTATTGAATTTGATTAAGTAAATACTCAGTAATTGTAACTTTGCAATTAATTTTGGCATGGTTGGACAATTTGAAGTTTTAAGGAAAATTCCTGATTAACTATTGTTGATATTGATATGTTTTGCTAGGAACTTGTTAATTGGATTAGCAGACTTGTAACGAATTAGCCTTAAAGTTAGGGATATTTTGCAAATATGGCACTGGCTAGGTACCACCGGTGGTACGGTGTATGAATTGTTACCGAACTAATGTTGTTTTATATATTTAATGGATGTTGGTGGCAATTAGTTTAGAGTGGTGGGACCAATACAAGATATGAGATTGAATCTCACTGTACCATACAATTTTCGCTACACAAAAAATATTTTGCATTAATATTATATTTCCAATTGATCGGGTGCAAGGGGCGAAGCCAAACTTGATTGAGGAGGGACGGGGAGGGTTAGTCTAATAAATAATATGGGGCTATAAGGACTAATTCAATAAGCGCGAGTTTGGCGAATCACTACTCGGGTTGTGGCCCTCTTAGGCTCCAATTGAGTGTCGACCTTGGGTGCCTATTTTGCTTTGCGTTCTCTAGCGATAATCCTTGCCATATTTTTGGTGCACATCGAGTCACATGTCACAAATGATGCAACAAATTTGATCATATATATATATATATCTAGCTTGTACTTTGTAAGTATCACCTCCAATACTTTCGTAATTTAGTTAATTAAATTAATTGACATTTATACAAAAAAATGCTTCCTTTTTTTTCGTTACACTTTGACTTTTACGGTCAACTTTTTAAAACATTTACTAATAAAAATTTACTATTATAAACATCAAAATCATATCATGTGTGATCTTGTTGATTCAAATGTGATCAAATATTAGAAACAGTGAATTAGTGAAATTCAAAACGTAAAGAAAAAAAAGAACGAAAGGGGTACATAGATAATAAAAGCGATAATATTATATCTAGAAGAAAGAAAAGGAGAAAAGGTATAAAATAAGAAATTTAGCTAGATTTGGTTCCAAACTCTTTACATATCTTTCCACTACTACAACTACCATTTTCACCTTCTAATTGCATATTAGCATGTATACCTTAAAATTATCAGTGCTCAACTAATTGTCTTCCACCATAATCCATGACAATTATACTCACATTGTTCTTTTGATCTTTTCATTAAATTGTTCTTACGGTCAAACTTTGAAAATATTTACCGCCTCTTACCATGTGAGATTGATCTTGTTAGAATCATCTAACCATTTGCTTGTATATGTTTTCTTAATATTGACTTTTGTTGAATTTCTCTTACATACTATGAAACTAAAGATATTAAAATAATGGGATGTACAAAGCATATGCCAAATCTAAAGCATACAGAAAAAACATTGAGTTTCTCCCTTTGCCCTTTCTTTGGACTTTTCATGATGTTTAAAAACTAATCATTGTTGTGTCATTTTCTCCTAGTATTTATTTATCTTCTTAAAAAAAATTAAGCTTATTAAAAAGTATTTTTATAAGATCCACTAATAATATTTTACATCGTAAATCATAATCTTTTAGTACAACAAATGGTAGACTTTATTAAGCTTTGACTTCCAAAAATTTAAACCAAAAACAATTACGTAATCAATAGATATGTTTAGATTTGATTTACTACGTAATTCTTTTCAAGATATAATACTCCCAATTGAGCAATGATGTACGTCTACACAAAAAGATGACTAAAGAAAGGTGACATAATCATAATGACCTCAGCAACAATGACGTAAGCAAGGATATAATTAAGTCAAATATTGAAATAATTAATCATGCATTACATGTTTGTTGTGTAGGTGTGAACAAGTTTCCATCCATGGTCTGCCGCAATTCATTACTCCTCAAAACTAGAGGTTCATATCTCATGAATGCTCCAGGTGTTATTTATCACCACATAATAATTTGATATGATCGACGTGATATCTTATTACGTCTCATAATATAATGCCTATTCCTTGAATTTGTGTGCAATTACGAAATTAGTTTGATTATCGTAACCATATATGTATTGTAAGTATATACGTACAAGTATTTCGGAGTAGTTGATTTAGAATAGATTTTCCAATTATATTACAGATAAGTTTTGGGGTAAAGT